TCAATTAGAAACTTTAGGCATAAAATAGATTTTATGCATAAAGTCCCATTTTTGCGTAATTTTTTTTTTTTTTTGCGTAAAGTCTCTTTTTAAATTATTTTTCTTTCCTTTGCCTGAAAGTAAATTTTACATAGAAAATTGCGTAAAGTTTCTTTTTTGTGTAAACTTTGACCATTTGAGGAAAAAGATTTCTAAGATGGCTAACAAGTGAAATCGCTTTAATGAATTGACTATTTATGTAAATAACCTTAAAACAACAATATATATAATACTGAACATGCACCTCATACTTATGTGGTAATATGTAACACCCTTGGGACATTTATGTTGCATTTGTGTTCCCTTGGATATTTTGACCTTCAAATGTATTTTTTCTATCTAGTTACAATGTTGGGAATTGATATTGAGTGAATTTTATGCTAAGTTCTAAGAAAAAGACAATTGGAAGTCAACTTAGTGGTCAAAGCGGGTTAGAATACGGGTTTAGCCGCTTAAAAACCCGCATTATGATCTGTTTGCAAGATTTTTTTTTGATAAGGACGACTTTAGCAGCTTGAAAACAAGCATTCAGATCCAGATTAAAAGCCGATTTTGATTAAGGTTTCTCATTTCCATCACCCAGTTCGTTCTCTCCTCTATGGTGACGATTTTGGGGATACTTAAGGCAAGATTGGAGTGTGTCACAATGGTTTGGAGGCTTAGAAGAGCTTCATTATGGATATGTTTGTTGGAAGATCTTATTCTTGAAGAGATGACATTTTGGGTATTTTGAGATCTGGCTAAGGTTTGTTGTGGATCTGATATGTAGGTTGTTGGTCACTTTCTAGACTTGGGGGTGGAATCTTGGAAAGATTTATGGAGTTCTTTGCCTTCATCAATGAAAGCTAGAGATCTAGGTTTGGAAACTAAGTTTAACCTAACCTAGCAAGGTGAGATAAATTGCTTTTTGAAAACCATGTACGTACCAGAATGTTCATTTTGGAGTCTTAAGATGTTTTCTTATGTATTGGTTATTGGATTAGATTTGCATCTCTGGTACCTTTGATTTTTATAAATCTTGTGAAAATACCATATTGGGGGGAGGGGGTTGGACATTTTGATAAATAAATCATAAGAGTTTGTCATTTCGCTAATTTGTTTTATAAATCGACATTATATGGAGAAAATACGCTCCTAGTGTATTTAGTTATAAACCACTTGGAAAATGCATATTTTTATGTTTTGAAGCATTTTGAAAATATAAATAGTATGATTCCATTTTGATAATGCAAATTATAGATTTTTTAGTTAATCATACTTTTGGAGCATATGTTTGCATAAACGTGGGTTAAATGCGTCTTATTACTTATGTTGACTTTTGTTTGAATAGTCATAAGTGTGGAGTCACTGAGTTGATTTTGGATCATTTGAGTTTTGGGGAACTTGTCTAGTCTAATTTGCTCTATGTTGAGCTTTGGACATGATATGCTGTTGATCCTCTCTCTCAGTGATTTGATGATAATCCCTTTATCTTTCACGATGTATTTGTGTTTCTGTATTTTCAGTTCCAGCGATCGTCACTGAGTATGTTCAGTGATCACTGAAGAACTTGCATTATAAATCTATCAGAGACAACAATACTTCAAGAAGACAACACTCACACCAAAGAACCTTCAGCAAATGTCGAAAACTGAAACTGAAGATTAGAGACCGGCGAGTACGTGATCTGAAGCGGTATTCAGTGATTACAAGCCTGTCTATATATGTGTGAAGACTGCTCTAGCTTCAACAAATGATGACGAGACCTTAGGTCATTCCAGCATTTAGCGATCAAATGAAGCTTGCTTAGCACGATTGTTGTTGTCTTGTCCTTATGCACACAAAGGACAAACCCATACCCTTACTAAAGTTAGTACAGTACGAGGCCGATTAGTCGACCCTTTGTCCACCAACTTTAGGTAAGGATGTCTGCTCAGAAATAGGGCTTTTGTACTATTCACTGTAGCAAAGGACAAGCCTTCCTTTTAAGGTTTGACACACACTCTAAACCTACCATATTGCATTAAATGATCATTTAATGCATTGGGTATAAATAGAAGTGCTTATTCTCCATGCATCGAGCGCGCATCTCTCTCTAACCCTATTCTTACTTCAAGCATCTTCTAGCTTATGTAAAGGATCTTTTTTTAGCATTCTCTTTTCTTGTATTTGCTAAAGCTTTGTGTGTAACCAAAGATTGTTTAGATAGATTTTTATTACCTTATCTTTCCGCAGACAATCTTGTAAAATCTGTATTGATCTTCTCTATCAATATATATTTTAAATTTGAAAAATATTGTGTTTGTATTCATCACCCCCTTCTACAAACTGTTTCTTATCTTGTAGACCCTTACGGGACCAACATATGCTTTTATTGCATTTTGTTTGTGACATACATATTTTGAGTGCGCTTGTCATTCAATTAGAGTTATGTAATTTAGACTGTAATGCATTTGATCTATGGTCATGTGAGACATTCTTGTGATGATGGTTGTGTCAATATTGGGGAAAAGGACCCGTGTAGGGTTGGACTCCGTGACCGTGAGTATTGCGAAGGTGAACTCAGACGACTCAGACTCTGGGACCCTTGTTTTGAGGCTTTTGGCCTAGTTGAGTAGGCATTAAGAACTTGAGTGTTGAGGTACTACCCGAAGTGGTAGGCATTAAGAACTTGAGTATTGAGGTACTACCGAAAGCTAGCTTATCAGGTAGTCACTAAGGTCATGATCCTTGAGATGAAACTCCAAGGAATAGACACTAAGATAACTTAACACGTTTTAAAGATGATATCATATCTTGTGTACAAAAATACACTATTCACTAAATCTTTTAACTTACATATATACATATGCACATATCTCACTGGTGGACCATATGGGTTTGTCTAGGGGAAAATTTTGTGAAGGTGGCACCACCAACTAGTTTGTGGTATACTTTGTAAAGTTAGTTGGATGTTGTACTTACTAAGCTTTTGTTGTTTATTAACTCTAATATACTATAAGCTAAGTATGCCTTGGAAAGTAGGTATTATAATCTTTTGGCTTCATATTGCTTCATTCTAACATGCGTTGTAGTTATGCACTTGGCTGTCTTTCGAAATCTATATGACAGTCGACTGCTATTAGAGACGACTCTCTACCATTGATGGTAAGTCTACAAAAATTTAAAACTCAAAAGTTTAATTCTTGTAACAAGGTGGTAACCTTGCGGTCAAAACATCGTAAATATGGTATTGCATGGCATAAGGTTACAACACCCATGGGCTTACACAAAGATTGGGGGGGGGGGGTGGGACGGGGGCAAGTCAATTTTTTTTACCTAGATTAAAATTCAGGATTTATATTAGTTACCTTTCACTTCCCCCATTAGATTTTTCCATGGGCCCCACTAGTTGCCGGCGATTTCAAATTTCACGGTGCCCACTCCGGCACTCTCCATTGGCAGCAGGCGATTTCAACCGCTGGTGGCAGACCAGTCCTCCGGCAGACCGCATACCAGGTTTGTTT